GGGCGCCTCCTTTCCCAGTCGGGTTTTACCGGCGTGCAACAAAAAGCCGTCTGAAGAAATAATAAGCCCTAATTCTCGCCCGTACCTTGGTAGTGAAAGATGGTGCTGTTGAGGACCGGCTAACAACGCTGTTTTCATAACTGATTACAAAATCTATTGAACGGGGTTCAAAAGCATGAATGGCTTTTTACCACCTTTCAATCAAACACCCTCTGATGTTGTTTTGGTAAAATTAAGAGTGAATTCAGCAGCAGGGAATGGCAGTAAGTTGTGGTATTTCCTTTCAGCAGTCGCCTGTTACTTTGTGTCAAAAGTAGTGTGATGATTCTTCCCAGTGTAAATTGATTCCCTCCGAATTTACATATTTTGTTCTCTGCTTACAGGTAATTATCTTTGCGTTCTTTTATCGAGTTAGTGCACTAGGGATTGTTCAGGCCTGTTACCTGCAGGGATAGAGAAGCTGCTTTGGTAGGCAAGGAAGACTTGCCTGAATTGCAAGGCTTGCCTGGTTTGTAGTAGAACCTAGTCCCGGAATAATAAAAGGTTAACATGAGTCGATGTACATTCAGAGACTTTGTCCAGTCCATAGCCAGAAATACCCCATGTTGTGGCATTTGTAGCACTCTGGATAAAACTCGTGCTGGCAATGTATTGGTCTTTTGTTCTTGTGCTTTAGTTCCTTTTGTAACTTTTTCTTAGGTTTCTTACGTTTTGGGGAGAGAGTGTGTGTGTATGTGTATTTTATATTTATTTATATAGAGACATACAACCTGGTAGGCTTTGAGTTCTGGTTGGAAACGATTCAACTCAGTCCTCAGAATGCCCTGCTGGCTGCTCTGTTCCAGGGACAATGGATATGTGTGGCTGAATTATTTTTGTTCCTTCAATTGTGAAGTACTTTTGGTTTGAAAGGGAGCTCTGCATGTCACCTGTTTGAGCCCCTGTTCATGGTAGAGCAGAAAGCTGTTGGTAAATCGCAATCCTGAAATAGCAAGTTACTGGGAATTCATTGAGCAAATACGTGTTTCACTATGGAGCTAGAGCTCAGAATTTCTCGAAGTCAATGCATGGGTCCCCAGTCCTAGTGTTTTGGACACTGCCATGCAAGATCCTCACAGTGAAAATTGTGTGCTTTGTTACGAGAATCAAAAATACTGACTATGGCAGAGTGTGTGAATGGTACATGGGCTTTATTTGGATACCAGCATTTAGGAATTAAGGATTTAAAGTGTAAGTGATATAACCAAAGTAATAACTTTGTTTTTATAGTAGTTGTATTTATTGAACTACTCCAAGTCAGGGCTAACAAATTTTTGGTTTGGGATCAAATATGGTGCCTGTTCAGATGTGCAGTAAACAATGCCTGCTGACTTCTTCCAAAATGGACATATGTTTGCAATGGATAAGCATTACTCTGGTGTGAAATGCCATGGAGTATTGCACTGCAAAGGGGAAAAGATTTCGAAGAAGCAATGAATAGCTTTGTCTACTTCCCAGAGTCCTGAAAGGCAGGCAGATAATAGATGATTTTAAAAAAAAATTTATTTATTTTCCTTGGGTTTAGAATTGTGAATTATGCTAATACTGGATTTGTTCAAGAAGCAATATACATATTCTGTGGTTATGGAATATGAAAAAAGTAGGAAACTACTTGTTACATATTTATTAACTTACATTTTTACAACAAAAAGTCAGTGCAGGGTATCTTCATAGAATCACAGAATCATTTGGGTTGGAAAAGACCTCTAAGATTATCGAGTCCAGCCATTAACCCATCACTGCCAAGTCCATCACTAAACCATGTCTCTAAGTATTTAAAAACAAAAAAAATGGTTGTGAAAACAGTGATCCTTAATATGTCTAAATTAATGGAATCTCTCTTAAAGAGAGCTTCCAAGGTGTGGTGGGGCACAAACATGTAGATTGGAGGATCTGAGCACATCCCCTTCACAGAAGGGACCAAAGAACAAATATCAGTGCTTGCACTGATTTTGCCATAGCCAGGTTTTCCAAGAGAAACAAACCCACCTCCTCCAAAGCCCTTAAAAGCAAGCAGACCAAAGGAAAAGATTCCCTCCTTTTCTTTCTTGTTGACCATTGTGGCTGGTAACTTTTATGATGAGGACAGTACCTCTTTCCAAGGGCAGGTGAAGGTCTAACACAGTAACTTCTTTGGTAAATTGCTGAAAAGTAGATGGATGAGTGAGACCAGGGAAAGTTTTACAAGTGTTTGTTTCTCCCTGCTTATGTCAAGCATCAGTTGAAGATCTGTCCTTTCTCTCTGGATATCTAGGAAAGCATCAGGTGTTTCTTGGTTCCTCAGTAAAACGAGGGCATATTTTCAGTTCCTGGGATTTCTACACTTATCTTCTGTTTCTTATCTTACTGTAAGATATCTTCTCTTATCTTACTGTCGTCTGCAAATAAATGACAGAAGGAACTCAGTAATTTAAAAGTATGTGACATCAGAGTCCTGTGTGGGTACAGATGGAATACTTGGAGCCTTGTTTCATTTGCTTCATTTGTTTCACATTCCCCCAATGCAGGACTGGGGGTGGGCACAGACTGTGCCTCACAGCAGGTTTTTCTTTTCACTGCTGCTGTCTCAGGGGTTCCACTTTTTTCTTGTTCAAGATCTGCAGAACCCTCTGCAGTTGCCCCACCACACTTGTGCTGATGGTTCCCCGTTGCCATGATGTCTTCTGTGCCTTCCACGATGCTTGTTACTTTAAAGGGAAAGTGGGATTGCTTTCTGCCTGGTTTTGTTGCAGTCCCTCAAAAGCTGCTGTGAAGTCTGTTGAGGGCTTGCTACTCTCAGGCAGAAAGTAGTTTGACTTGTACTTAAAAACGTTTAAAACTGACAATGAATATAAAACTTAACTGGCTGTATGATGTCCTTTAACAGTAGTACAGAGACTACACGGGGTGATCCTTGGAACTGGGTAAAAAGTTGAAATAGTCACCTCATTTTTCTTCATTTTACAGAAAACGTGATTTTAGCTTTCGAAATGCTCTTCCTGAGAAGATCTGTGGAATAGCTATTTTGTGAGGGATTCAGCCCAGCAACATCTGTGCAGTACATGGTACTCAGAGTGTGTAAATCCCAAGAGGTTTAGTTTGATAAAACAAGTAGCTGGCCCACCACTGACAAGGCAATCAACTAGGGAACAAGCTGCCAACTTGCCAGGATAGTCTTCATTGTGAGTTGGCTTCCCAGCACCTCACTGAGTATGTTTACAAAGCATATTAGGTGTATTTGATGTCCATTTCCCATCCCTCCCCAAAGCAAAACAAAGCAATTATTCTACTAGTCTTCACTGTATACTTTGAAATTCATTGTTGTAGGTTCACCACAGTGAAGCACTTCAGGTTGTTGTGTATTTGATATGTTGAGAAGAACTTCATGTTGTGGCAGTGATAAGATGCACAGGTTTCTGGTTATGACTCAGTTGTTTCAGCTGTGCACAAATGGTGTGAGAAATATGGCCATTCTGTTTCAGGTTTATAATCCAGATAGTTTGATTTCTTGCCATTTTTCTGACAGGTGCCTTGTAGTTGCTATCCCATTTCATTTGAGTTCTGGTGCATTTCAGTCAGGATTGCTACTGTTTTGTGATGGTCAGGTTAGCAAAATTCAAAACAAGTATTAGAGTAGGAAAATAAACTCCATGGTTGTGATAATATTCACAGATCGTATAGGCACAGTGAAAGGAGGAGTCACAACAAATCCTTACTGAAGGTGGGGTGTGTTACTGCCTCAGAATTTCTGCAGTGACACCTGTTGTTGCAGTGAAAGTGATTGCCTCGATGGAGCTCTCCTGTGAGTCACCGTCTGAGTCTGGAACCTGAGTTCTGTACCGAATTCACAGGTGACTCTTCACTGGGGAGGGGGGAGAGTGCTCTGAGTAGCATGAAGGGTGTGAACTTGAAATGTTTTGATAAGACAAAAAGCTGTGTAGTAATAGTTCACAGGGTGCATACCTGCAGCATGTGGCTGATTGCTCTGATGCTTGCTTCTCCCCCCAAATACAGAGGAAAATATAGCAGGTTTAAATGCAATTATAGTATGTGATGAGTTGTCTGTGCATTCAGCTCTGCAGTATTGTAGCATAATTCACATCATAACAGCAGCAATGCTTTTTACAAAATTAAAGATCACTTAAGTTTTCACAGTGCCTCCTCAGGCACTGTATTACATGATGGCTTCAGTCAACTTTATTAGCATAAAATATGGAAGCAACTAGCAATTCTTTTGTCTATATTCCCTCAGTTCACCATCTTAAACAGAAAACTGTCAGTCTTGCTATGTTTTGGTTGATAAAAATGCAAGCAGATGTAGCATAGATGAGTTAAAGAAATATCAAAGTCTCAGAAGATATGTACCAGGATATAAACCTGGATCATGGAAGCCATTTGCTTTTCTCTTGTCTTCATAGTGTTAATTACTAAGAACTTTTTCTTGATTTGAGAAAACACCACCTAAAACCATTTGTAGGCCTTTATACTTCCTCTGTGAGAGCCTGGTCCCAAACTTGTTTGGAAACTAGTGGCCAGAGCTCAGATGACTTTGGAGGACTGAAGTCATCAGAGATTTCACTTACACAAAGAATCAATACTCTGCTAATGAGATTTATTGTGCAAATTAGTACATTATGTGCTCAGGGCCAGAATTTCAGGGATATGGGAGCGGTGAATAAGCTCAGATATCTTTTCCTAAATTAATCATTCTTTTTCCTATTCTGTGTTCAGTTGGAAATTTGCAGTGCAGTGGTCAGGCAGAGGCACAGGCCGTGTCCCATGTTTTTGTGCAGGGCTACAGAGGGTTTAAAAAGGAAACATGAACAAAAAAGTTGTGAGGAATCGTTCAGCAGGAAAAATGGGTATTGGAAATATGAAGAACTGTATCATCCCCTTGTCCCCTATGTTGGGAATGAAAGAACTTGGAGAGTAGTATGAGAACAAGAGTGATTTGTTGGAAGAAGGAAGAGCGAACCTCAGTGACAGGAAATGTGAGTGGGGAAAACCAGAAAGCTGTGTAAAATGTGCTCCTGCTGGCTGCATGTCCTTCTGTGTGGAAGAGAAATTAGTGTGTAACAGAGTGCCTTGGAGAAGGTTTCAGACACCCTCCTGTGTTGTCCAAGGAACAGGCCTTGCAGTTGTCAGATACTGCTTTGGACAAGTGAGAGTTAATTACAAGAGGGGATTGGGGCAGGGCACAGGAAGGCACTGCCAGCTAATGAGGTGCAGCCCTTCTTAGACTCAGTGCCCAAAACTTCTTCTGTCCAGATTGCTGAAGGGATTTTAGCAGTAATGAAAAATGCAGTAGTGGTACTGAGTGTTGGGCAGAAATGTCCCTGCTGTTAGAAGATAGGGAAAGTTTTACTTTAAAGTATTTTTTTAAAACTTATTTTGAATGTCTCCTTTCTTGGAGACAAAGCAAAGAATAAAACTCACAGGAAAAAAAGGTGCTTTTTTTGTTTTAAGGTATAGATGTATTTTTCTAATTTTATCTTCCACATTTACTAGTTCACAATCTTTTTTTTTTTTTTTTTCTTTTTGTGAAAATATCCTATGGAAAATTTTCTGCAGGAGTATTCTGAAGCACATGCCATTCATTACGATTGAAGATTATGCCCTTTCCCACCCAGGCAAATTATTACTGTGAGCCTGAAATGAAATTAAAAATTGTGTAGGTTTAGTGTCCAATCTGTCACATTTGCTGAGCTGAACCAATGGTCCTTCTAGGGATAATTCTTCTTTAAATCTCCTAGTGTGGACTGAAGTTTAAGACATAATATTGTATGCCCTAGCTTTCTACTTTGCTTAGGTGAATGGAAATTTTTTTAAACAATGCTAACTCCATGTATATGTTTTAAAATATTTTATTACTTTAACATTAATAAATTCTTTACTGATACTGGTTTACACTAATCTTTGTATGTTTTGTAAAGCTCTCTTAGTACATGGTGACATTTGGGGTTTTTTTGAGCTTAAAACTACAATTAATTTATTAGAACTCTAAAGAGAATCAAAAATTGGAATGTTATTTTACTCAGAAGTTTATGGCAGAGGGCTCTGGTGAAGTGTAGAAACATTCCCATATAGCTGATATTCTTCAGTTTTCTGCTCTTAAAATTTCAGGGAAGGAATGCAGTTAGGGACTCGCTAATTTGGGTTAAACCAGGAACTGCAAAATAAAACCCGACCCAGACAGGACAGTTTTTATTCAAACCCAAACCTCTGTTGAACTGTCTGTTTTTGTTCCGCCCCTGGCCCTGTTTCACTCCCCCACCTCTCTCCAAATTCACAAGTTTTTAAATGTCGAGATGTTTCTAATTTAGAAAATTATTTTGGTGTAATGAACTAAAACAGAGAAGAGGGGACTAAACTGAGGGAGGTCAAAAACCAGATGGAAATAGAAAATCTGAAAACATCTAGTAAGAAAAAAATCCCCCTTGAAATAATGGAATCTAAATGCTGAAATTATACATCTGCTCGGCAGCTGTGCATTCCTTAGCCAGAGGTTCCACTGCAGAAATGGCATTACTCAAGTTTTTCTCAAAGTTTCAAATGCTGTTGTATAATATTTACATCTCTCTAATTCTGTCAGTAATGGTCTTAGGAGCCTGGGGTGGAGGGGGGGAGAATAGAGGTGGAGGGAAGAGCTGATATAAGCATTTCCTTCTTTGTGCTTAAGCATTTGTAGTGTGTATGGTTGTTTGCTACAGTGAAATTTGGTGATTTTCTTTCTTGGTTGTTATGAATGCTGATGTAAAGGGTCATTTAGTTAATGTAAGAGGCTAAAATGTTTTCTTGCTTGGTAAAAAGATAACAACCAAGGACACTCTTGCTTTGAAGAATTTTAGACAAAATTTAGAAGTTTGAGGTTATGTAAGATAAATGTCAGGGTTTTCAGAAATTCCGAATACTGTTTTCAAACTGTTTCTGCTTTTGGAAGAAGTAATTGTTTATAGGAAGATATTTTTTACTATGTGTAAACTGTGTATCTTTGAACAACCAAAGATAAAATAAATCTCCTTAATTGAAAAGAGAAGCTGTGAGTGTGCTGTAAGTAGCAATCATAGGGTCTGCTGAGGA